CCAGAAGCTCCTTCCCTACCTATATTCCCTCAAGAGAAGACTAGGTAGGGCGGGGTTGCTCGAAGAACGGACGGATTAAAAATTGGAGACAGTGTTGGTGGATGGGTCTTTTGTCCGAAACTCTCCAGTAAAAATATTTGCAGGCTTCCAGAATTCTGCAGTGTCTTTTAGGTGGTAATAGCAGCCATCAAAGAAGCGGTAGACTCATTGCTAAAGCGTGTGATGATGTGCGAGTACTTCTTAGTTAATTCTAGTTTTAGATTCTGGGTCACAGTGACTCACGCGAAACTGCGCTGCTGATGACCTGTCGTGATCTGCTCGCGGCGTTAACCTAACCCAGCCTAACAGCTACTTCCTTGAGCTATGAAATAGTTGGTCACATTAGGCCAGCCACACACTTGCCGCTTTATGTTGAATGAATTGCTGTGGGCTTAGTGGCATCTGTTGGCGACGACGGCGATCATGTCCGTAATAGCGATAGCGAGATAGCGTGGAATCGGTAAAACAAAAAATTATATCAGCGGCGGCGCATTGCCAATTCGGCTGACATATGCAAGTGTTGTTGTGTGTTTGGTTGTGTCTTCGGTACGTTTTCTTTCGTTTTTTTTTGGTGCTCACACATGTACGCATTTCATTGTGTTGCAGACACTTTTGATTTTTATCATGTCTACACGGCACAATGACAATTGCGCATCTTGTCAGTTGCACTGTTGCCCAAATATGGTGTTGCAGCAATGATGGACCGCAGTGAACTCAACTTGTTGGCACTGAAGTGGACTGGACTGTTCGGCAACGCTTCATCGCATTGTATACATACATATACGTATGTATGTTCGTACATTTGTAGTAGTTACTGTTGTCCTCTGTCCCGGCATATGCAATGAAATGCACCGCGAATGTGCTGCTGGGTGAACGGGAATTCGCAATTACAGCAGGTCATTACAGAAGCAGCAGCGTTCGCATTACTCGAGCGCTGAATAAATTGCATACGTAAGTTTTGCGACACTTTTTTATTTAAAAAAAAAAAACTAAAATAAATGGAAATAAATAAATTTTAAACGAAATTAACAGTTCGAGTTATACAAGATAAATCGCTTAATATTTATCTAGGCTCAGCTAAACATATTCGCTGGGTTTTTATAGTCTTCGATTTATTCATTTAGTAAGAGATACTCAAGAATTTCAAGCACCACACAAACTTAACTTTTGTAGCACTTACAAATGGATCTTCAGCAAAACAGCCTGTGTGGGTGCAATCATTCGAATAGCGCACCCTTTTGATCCTCAGTATTTATGTACAGTTTTCCTCTCGTTTGTTTAATATTCATACATTTTTCATAAAAATTTAGCATATTTTAAAACAAATAACGTGTAAATCCGATTTTAAATTTTTATAAAAATAAAAAAAAATCTCATCCATGGGATGCACTATCTTAACGGCCTGCTATAAATAAGTTAACAATATTTTTAGAAAAATTTCGGATATAAAGTTTTATAGCTTATTAAATGTTAGTATAATAAAGTGCAAGTTTCAGGTAGCTGTAAAATAGCGTTGATTTTTGAGTTTTTTTTTGTTCACGGTGCTACGCATTTACTCCCACGGAATTTTAGAGAAATATGGAGCTTGCACTTTGTTAACCCAAAATTTCATGGGCTAATAGTGAAAACTCCAATTACATGTCGGAGCCGTGGACGTTCCAAGCGGAGGAGAGAACGAGATCTGCGTTTATCCAACTCACGCCAAATATGCCTTCTTATGCATCGTGTATTTTCCTGTTCGATAAAAATATTTTCTAGCTGCAGTTGGCAGGAGAATAGGGGAATTAATAAACGAATCGATCAGCTATCTTTCAGCTTCAATAATTGCTCTAAGTTCAGGTACAGAGGTCTGGCAGACGGAAACTGAGGCAAGGGAGAGTTGTTGCAAGTACACTACCTGCCTTCAGATCTAACTTGAAGCCATCGGATTAGATGGCTGCTGAATCATAGTAGGAGGTCAGTCTGTTGTATCGTAAAATAAAATGGGACGCACCATCGCAGTGTACACCCAGTTCACAATGTCGGGCTTTAGGCATCATTTTCCCCCACTGCTGTTGTACAGACGCACACGGCAGTCACAGCCTTCTTGCAATGCTCTTTACATTGAACTGCCAAGTTAGTTTCCTGTCCAAAATAACGGCTAAATATCTAACTTCTTCATAGAAAGTCACACATCATTCACAGCATCACAGCATCATTCGAGGAAGGAAGTTGTAGGCGGAAATTTTTAACTTCCTTTGATAAAAGAACCATATTCCGGCAGTCAGCTCCCGCCGCCGGTAGGGCAAGGATTCCATCATCATCGACTGGGTGCTCGGCTTTGTCTTCTACACTACCTTCGTAGGAAAAGTATTCCCTTCATAATTGAAGTACGTTCTGGACGTTGGTCACTATATTTCCATGACTTTTTTCTGTCGTCTAGCATTTAAAGTTCTCCCCAATCCTATATTGCAGCCTCCTTCTTCTTATTACGACGAATACCACTCGTTTACCTCTTTAGATTCCTATTATATCGGTCTCACTTAGCATGAGTTGCGCCCGACTCAGCGTGACTCTGTTGGCGGCATCTTTTACTCTGCAGCTTCTTGACATTGCCTGTACCTGTCGGCGTCGGTACCTAATGAGCGTCAAGTGGAGAATAAACTGGCCGTCTATTTTGATTGCAGCTTTTCGACGTTGAGCATTCCTTGCATTGTCGGACGCACATTTTTTTGCTGCATTTTTGCTTTGCTACTTTGGGCGTGTGCGCATCTTGGCTGCAACAAGATAGTTTTCCGAATCGATGTTTGGCCGTCGGAGTGTACGTACCTCTAAAAACTTGATCGATTTTGTTTCTTGTTTTTCCATACAGAGACAGCCAGGTAGCTTCCTGGATATTTTTATGCTGGAACCTAGTACTACATACTAAAGTGTTTCGGGCCCGGAGAAGTCGATCAGCCGCAATCCTTTATCGGTCATTTCATAGTGGAGGCTGAGATTTCCGACAGTGGCGCTAAAGATCCCTTCCTTGCCTACCCTAGGATTGAAATCGCCAAGCACGGTTTTGATATCGTGTCGGAGCAGTGCTCATATGAACGCTCCGAGGGCTTATAGAAAATACCTTGGACGCCTCGTCCTTTCCTTCCGTCAAAGCGTGCGCGCAAATCAGCGAGTTGCTGAAGAATCCCACTTTGATGCGGATTTTAGCTATACGCTCGCTCACAGGGATGAACGGCAGTATTCGTCTACGAAGTATCTCTCCCACCACAAATCAAACACCGAATATTCGCTCCTTTACGTAACAGCTGCAATAGACGTCGCAAAGGCCCACTAATTTTTTTCTTGCCCTGTCCATTGTGTTTCTTGGATGGCGGTGATGTCACCGTTTGTTCTCCAGAGGACATGAATCAGTCGGGAACATGCACCTTCTTCTTTAAGGACATTTCCTCAAATGAGAGTCCTTTATGCTTTTTCCGTGGTGGTCATTAAAAGAGCGGGGTCTCATTTGAGACTTGTTTTCTTTTTCATCGATATTTTGTTTTTACGTCGCACTAACCATTGAGAGAAGGCTTATCCTGCCGTGATCAGTGCAAACAACACGATTTTCGTACTTGTAAATTAGACAAAATATACTCGATATACCATCTGCTTTGGAATCTTGTTGTTGTTTTTTTAAACCGTACTATTCTCTCCTCGTTTTTTTCGAGTGGAGGCTCCCATTCCTCAACTGACCAATAACCAAATCCAGTATTGTAACCGTTTGGTTGCTGATTTTTTAATGGAATTTTCAAGCCACATTCCGGCCTACCTGCCAGCATTTTTGATGCCGGCGCGAGGTCTCCCTTTCCCTCTTTTATGGCGTACGAATTAATATTAGCGCCATACTTTCCAACACTCGTGCAAAACGTGCCTTCTTTGGCAGGGCATCGCTCATAAACTTCTTCGGGGTGTTCTTAGGGTTCATCGTTCTTCTTCTCCAGTCGCACTAGCCACAAACTAACCACTGAATATCCCTTAGCCGTGAGTTGGTAAATTTGTTCACAGACCAGCCGGAGTACAAGCTTGTATGGCGCATGGGAAAATCGGAGTTTTAATATGTATATTTTTTTCAAAAAATTTCCAAAATTGGCACTGTGTATTACCATTGTCTGGAAGACACTTCACAGAACAACATATTTCCGAAGATGATAGCTTCACAGCAGAATCTCTGAAATCGTTCTCCTGAATCTATCCTTGGCCACGCAAACCCCCTGCAACTTACATTAAATTTAAATGATTTATGTATTCTTTTGGCCTTGAACTTCGATGATGACTCTTGCAACGAAGTGTACCAGCATGAAATACTAAAATTCACTCACTTTTTTCGCTTAAAACCCACATGACAACTCACAAAACTGCCAACCAATTGTCAAATGCGCTTAAAGATCTTTAAAGCCCATTCACGGCGCAGAGCTCGCTTACTGTTTTTGCCAACAATACAAAAGGGCAGACGTGAGATTTTTCGAAAACGACTTTCAATTTGCATAAATACGTCGAAAACAATCGCATTTCGATAGTAAAGAATGGCAGCAGCAAAAAAAAAAGTAAATAAAATAACACCAACAAAAAAATAAAGGGCAAAAGTGGTGGCGCAGCACTGCGATTTATTATAAAAAATTCAAGGTCCTTTTAGAACCAGCAGACAACTTAGCCAGTCATGCGCAGCCAGCCACTCATGTCGCGCCACTGCAGCTACGCACACACTTACCTACATAAATATAAATTGCTATATATTATCGGTGTCATAAGGCCTTGTCCGACTAGATATTGCTAAAGATTTCCATCCATTATTAACTGAAAGTGATTGGCCCTCAAGTCTTCATTCGAGGCGAGGCGATCCGCAAGCGACTTTTTTTATTCTGCAATTTCTGTTAAAATTTTTTATTTTTTTTATATATTTTTTTCATCTGTACGTTTTATTGTATGCGTTCTTCCTTTTACAGGCAACCATTCCATTGCAATCGTTTAACCTTGATTGTGCACGCCTCGATAGTGGCTTAGGCGCCGACAACAACAGCAGCAACATCAACGGCAATGGCACCCCGGCTGTCAAGCCAACTGTTGCCTATATGCGCACTTTATCGGCACCGACACCATACCACCAACAACACCAGCAGCAACAACAACAGCTGTTGCACGAACTTGTCGGAAAATCGCAGGCGGCACACAGTGGCGGCAAAGGCAATCGCAACAGTTTAGCAACATTTAATGCCACAACCGAGCAACATCAACATTATCATAATCTGACAAATTTACAATGCGGCAACGATGCGCTGACAACAAGTGCGCTAACAGCCGCGGCAAAAACAAGCTCGCCAACAGCGGCGACAGTATTGAAAATTGAAGAGACAACACCAGCAGCAGCAACGGGAGCTATGGCGGCTACGACAAGTGACTGCCGCCGACCAACGATGGCAATGACAACATTAAATGGTTGTGTCGCCGCCCAAGAAACCGATGAGGAATCACTTAAAAACAGGCGACAACGTCAATTGGAAAACGATATGGAAACAATGCGCGCTGGCACTGCAGCAGCTGCTACACAGTGGACACAGAGAGAAAGCCAAAACCAAAGTCAGAGTCAGGTCTACCAGCAGGAGCAGCAGCTGCTGGCAAACGCCGATAAAGGCGGCAACAACGGTGGTCACATTACCAGTAGCAGTGGCTTGGCGGCAATGCTGGCAATACCAAAACGGGAGCGCATTAATCATGCGACAATGACAACACCGTCTCCGGCCATAGCTGCTACAAAACTAGGCAACACAGTGCTGCTGCCATCCACACTGCTGACCTCATCAGCATCAAAGAGCAACGGCGGCGGCGGCGGCGTCGGTGGCAGCACAGCGGCGTCTTTGTTGTTAAACGGCAGCGATGTGACCAAAAAAGGATCCACCTCAACAATTTGGACATCTGAGGAGTCAATATTGCGGAGTGTTGGCGCCGTCGATGAAGACAATAAGTAAGTAAATAGAAAGAAATGAGTTTAAGTTTTAGAATTTAGGGGGCTCTTTTAAAACTAGATCAAATATTAATCAAGAGACATACAAATCCTTAACTTTGTGAGCGTATCCAATATGTATTGAGTTTTTCTTTCGTCACTTCATTTATGGAAAAACTAATTTCTCTTAAATTTCAGCTCTACTTCATCTTCGGCATGTGAGGAGGCCACTGGCGCGCTCAGCTCAGGCAAGTCGGGTATTTCGCTGGACTCCTCCGGCCTGGACAATGACAACAACGAAAGTGGCATTGGAACGGCAACGCCGCCAAAGGATAATTCATACTGGAAAAATCCGCACAACGACAACGAATCAGTCAGCAGCTTGGATGCCCTACGCAAAATGAAATTCCAGAAGAGTAGCTCAGTAGCTTCCTCAGATGACCCAGACCTCTTAGAGGTGCTCAGCTTGTGCGATGAGCCCCATGGCGGTGGCGATGAAGACATTGGCATCAATGGCGGCGATGAGTCACACGATGACATTGACGAGCAACGCCAACTACAGAGACCACCAACGGTTGCTACTACAGCAGCCGACAAGCTAAAACACAAGGTACAACTACAAAACCAGCAACAGTTGCAACAGCATTTGTTGCGCGCCGCACGTCAACGTCATCGTCAAAATCAACGTGCACGACAAGATGACAGCGATAACGTTGACAGCAATGATGCGCTCGAAACGGCGGAGGCTGCCGATGACGGCGTTGTGGATGTGGCCGATTTGGCAGACGAATATGATGAGGGCCACGATGAGTTCGAAGTGGGACCATACTACGAATGTGAGTGCAATGATGGCGATGCGAGCAGCGCTAGCGGTAGTGGCGGTGGCGGCGGCGGCGGCGGCGGTGGTGGCAGTCGCAGCGGCTCCACATCGGCGAACGATACGCTTGGTGGCAGCAACAGTGTGGTGCTGCGTCGCAAATTCAATGCCATCGTCGCCACAGCGCCAATTATGATGCCTTATGGCAGCGCAATCGGCGGTGGTGGCGGCGGCGGACGTGCACAGAAATGTCGTAGCCACTCGTTGGACACCACCTCACTGCCGGCCGTCTACTATCAATACTCACCACTGCAACATCAACATCCACAGCAGCATCATCCGCTGACGCGTAAATTGCATCAACATTTGCACGGACGTGGCAGGGAACGTGGACAGCTGTCGTTGGCATTGCGTCAGGAACCGTTCCAGTCTTTGCTATCGCCGACGCACTTTGCAGAGCTGCCTTCGCCGAGTAGTGCATCGCTGCATAGCGGGCATGAAAGTCTGGGCATACAAGAGCTAACAACCAAGTCAAACTCGGCGCCATTGCTGCTGAAGCAGGAAAAGACGCGACGCGATGACTTTGCCGGCCAGAAGTTGGTGAGTTGGAAATACATATGAAGTTAATTAAAATAGTTCATCACTCTCTAACTTATGCACAGACATGTATGTACATAAATATGTTGGTAATGACTTATTTCTTTATCTCTATTTTTAGACGCTGCGATATTCACGGTCGCAAAGTGATCGCTACTTAGCAGGTTAGTACAACGTATGATATACAAAGTAAAAAATAAAATGAAAAAAATAGATTACTTAGTTAATTGGTTAAGGGAGTGGTTAGTTAAATAAAATCTCCAACGCTGCGATGGCCAACAACTCTATTATGCGTTTACTATTAAAGAGCATGGAGGTCTGGCATTGATGTGCGTACAGTGAACGCTGCGTGTGGGATTTGCCTGCTGGTACTGGCAGCTTGGAAAAAGGCAAATAACACCGTGCAACAGTTAATTTTGCACCCACAAAAATCATTATACTCACGAAACGTAAATTTTTTTGTAGGAACTACAAAATTTCAAAGATATTACGTTGCAGAGAATTAAAAAAAAAGTCAAAACACACGAAACATTGAATATACATATTCACGAAGCTGTTTGTCAAATATGGTAAAACTACGCTTTTAGTTTTACCCTGTGACGGCATGATTTTTTAAAAGACTTTGAAATTGCAAAGATATGATTAATTCAATTTTTTTAGTTCAGTGCAATTTAGAATAACATAACCAAATTTAAGTCAAAATTCCGTAGAATTGAACAAATTCAAAGTTTTTGGTGCATAAGGATGAATAGGTATTGAAAA